TACCAGAGCGAATAAGACGATGTGTTTCCGAACCGATTCAACGTCATCCTGGAGGCCTCCACGTGCTCCGACGAGAGCTGAAGGTTCTTTTGGAGATCGTCGATTACGGTCAACAAATGGTCAAATAGATGGAGGACCAAATCGTGTCAAAATTGCAAAGTTAAGGACTTAATTGGTTGAAATTGAAAGTCAAGGACCAATTTGTGAATTTAGTTGTAGTCGAGGGACCATTTTAAGTATTTACTCTATAATAAATTTACCCATACAGTTCACAGGTTTATATACTTACAGTTCATATATTATGAACTTAGAACAAGATTAGGACATATGTAATTAAGTTTATGCAGTTCCAGTTATTAGATTATGAATTTATTTCAAATGTGAATGTTGATCAAACGGAAGGAAAAGACGAATGTTGTAGTAATTAATTTAAATAATATGACATTAGCTAAGACCTTGTGATCTAATGGTATCAAGGTTGGACTCTCATATGGAAGATTATAAGTTCAAGTTTCTCTTTTTGCTTCAGTAGATTAAAAAAGTAGTTATGAACAGATACTACATTGTAATAGAGTAGCATTCAAAAAGAAAAAAAAATAATATGACATTATTTTTTTTAGTAAGTCCACAATACTCATTATTGTGGACCATACACTAATCCACAATATAATTTGCAATAAACATGTTAGAACCACATTATCAACTATTTTAATCTATAGTGAATTTGTAAAAGCTAGTCCAACAACAACTTAACAAGTGCACTAAATCCGCATTTGATTCATTGTCATTTGTGCTTTAAAAGGCCATACAAATGAGTTAATTTGGTTGTCAATTGAATCATTCATACCTTCTTCTTTTTTAAAAAAAAAAATCACAGATTAAACATAGTGATTGTGACATACAATTTCACAACATAATCTTCATTTACACATTAAACTTCTTGTGACTAATAAGACAATAACATATAGCATATGACCTAAATCCAAACAAATTGAGAAAAACCATGTTTGTGAAAACCATATATGAAAGGCATCCATTAACACAGAGCTGAGTAAACACTTACAGGGCGTTTGGTTGGAGAGAGGGAATTACGTGGGAAAGGAATTGCAATTCCATGGGAGACGAATTACTAGGAATAAAGTGAGAATTTAAATTCCAGTGTTGATTTACATGAATAAAATTACTGGGAATTTTAATTCCAATGTTTGGTATACATGAGAATTGAAAGGGAATAAATAGTATAAAGTCAAAAATGTCCATTGTTGTTGTTAGGCATTAATTATAGGTTAAAAAATGAAAGGGTAATTTTGACTCATCACTATCTTTTTTTCTTCCTAAAATCTCAGGAATTAAAATACCAGGGGATGCATGCGATTTTAATTCCATGAAAATAGGGGAATTGCAATTCCTTTCAACCAAACAAGGAAATTTTGTGGCCCTTGAAATTAGGTGAAAATTAAGTGGGAAGGAAATTTAAATTCCCTTCAACCAAACGCCATATTAGATACTTAATACCTAATTAGTAATTAGGATCGTATCGAATGGATATCCCTTTCGAGCAAGCACTACCCCCAATAATTCACACTTCAAATATGTGAAGACTCCAAAAGAAAATAACTATAAATCTACCGAAAATAAGAATATTTCATACATTGTTTGGTGTTCTTTACCATACATTAGCTTTTATATATATATATTGGTAGGGAATATCCCGACCGACATAGCTTCACCACGACCGAGAAGCCTTTGTCTTTTTCTCTTTGTCTTTGCAGGTAACAGGTCGGGCTCCTTGAGAAGAGCCCGGTCGTGGGCCGACCGGGAGTTGCCCGAGCGACGGTGTCGACCACCGAGCGGTAGCCCTTTGGCGAGAGAGCTGACGAAGGACACGTGGCGGCTCTCTACATCGACAGGCAGGGCACCCGGGAGGATGACACGTGGTGGCTACGTGGAGGACATGCCGAACGGCTGGAATCCTGTCCCCGGCATGGCGGCTATAAATACCCACAGTAGCTACAGTGTAGGGGACTTTTGGACGATCGATAGGTTGCTGTTAGAGAATCCCGACCGCAGTCAGTCGGCACTCAGAGCAACCAAGTAGATTGTACTTAGGGCCTTTACCGTGATCAATAAAGATATTTACTTGCTTTAATTGGTCTCGTGTTGTTATATATTGCTTACGTATAATTAGCAGTATCATATATATATATATATATATATATATATATATATATATATATATATATATATATATATATATATATATATATATATATATAGTTAAGTTCAGGTGCGGCGGACTCTTTCCGTGCGGTGGTGCGGCGTCACTAATAATTGAGCAAATATACATCATTAACGTTAGAAAATGCACCACCAAAACATACACAAATTATGTACGTATCACCAGAACATACCATACAGTATTTGGAAATACACCATTAGGGGTGGTGAGTTATATGGTGTATTTTTTTAGGTGTGTTGTGTATTTTTTGGTGTACTTTTGCGTTTCATTGTGGTGTGTTTCTCTTACACTGTTGGTGTATTCTGAAACCCCGCCGCATGGGAAGATCCTGCCGCATTTGAACTTTTTCACACACACACACATATATATATATATATAGGTTAAATACACAACACACGCATATTATACACACAAATAAAATACATTCAGAACACAAACTCACGCACCTTAAGCACAAAACTCACGCACCTTAAGCACAAAAACACACACACCTTAAGTTTTAACAACAACTCACATTAAGTACACATTCTTGCACATTAAGTACAAAACTCACGCACCTTAAGCACAAAACTCAGCTCACGCACATTAAACAGAAAACTCATGCACTTTAAAGTTTCAACAACAACAACTCACATTAAGTACACACTCACGCACATTAAGCACAAAACTCACGCACCTTAGGCGCAAGACTCACGCACCTTAAGTACAAAACTCACGCACATTAAGCATTACACACTCACGCACATTAAGCACAAATCTCGCGCACCTTAAGCACAAGACTCACGCACATTAAGTACAAAACTCACGCACATTAATCACCTGCACAACCGCACGGGAGACACTTACCCGCACTGAAACTTAATTTTATATATATATATATATATATATATATATATATATATATATATATATATATATATATATATGAGTTAATACCCAAAATCGTCCTCGACTATAGTGGTTTTTCTCAATTTCGTCCTAAACGACTTTGGTGACCTAATATCGTCCCAGACTTTTGTGTTTCGCTCAATTTAGTCCCAGACTTTTGTGTTTTTGCTCAATTTAGTCCCTCATTTGTTATTCTGTCCATTTGGTGTTAAATAAATAGACAATTCAGTAATTTTAATATTGGCATATCTTTACTCATAGACATGTGAACTGCGAAATTTTTTTTTTTAACGAATTACTTCCAAAATTACTCCTAAAACTGCGAATATAAAATTTAATTTGCAGGTCCGGGAGTAATTCTGGGTGTAATTCGTACAAGAAAGAGGAATTTCGCACTTCACAAGTTGAAAGTAAAGAGATATCAATATTGACATTACTGAATTGTCCCTTTATTTAACACCAATTTGACTGAATGACAAATGGAGGACTAAATTGAGCGAAACACAAAAGTCTGGGACGATATTAGGTCACCAAAGTCGTTTAGGACGAAATTGAGAAAAACCACTATAGTCGAGGACGATTTTGGGTATTAACTCATATATATAAATATATATATATATATATATATATATATATATATATATATATATATATATATATATATATATATATATATATATATATATATATATATATATATATATATATTTGCATGGAAAGTGACATAAGATAATGAGAATGAGTGCCGTGTCAGTTGGGACTCCGGAGTTTGGCAGTGGCGTTGGGAAATAAAATAATGGTGTCGGTGGAAATCTGCATGCTAATTATTCAATTCTTCAATATAATTACAGTAGCAAAAGAATTAAAATAAACTATATTATTAAAAATAAAATAAAATAAAATTATAGTTTGATAGGTTAAAATCACATCTCGTATGAAAAATAATATAATCAATATTATTTTGCTCTTGATTAGATTGGTCCGGTGCGGACCAATACAAATAAAACCAGATTAATCTGAGTATGATACAAACTTAAAGGCGTCAGTGTATCCGTTAGGATTTACACAAGACACACACTGCTCCCCGTACATTTAAAATTCATCAATTAAAATAAGAATAAGGGTCAAATAGGCCATCGAATTACACAAGAAAATACAATTAGACTATTGAACTCAAAAAGAATGCAATTAGGTCACTGAACAACGCAAAATGTTGCAATTGAACCAAAAATAACCTATTTATTTATTAACTTGCTGATGTGGAGGTTATCATGTTAAAATAATAATTTTTAAAAAAAAAAAAAAAAAAAAAAAGAGGTTTGCCGTTTCGTCTCCTCGTTGCCGGAGACGAAGAATGGTTCTTCGTCTCCGGCAGCCTGGAGACAAAGAAGGTTCTTCGTCTCCCGGCCTGAGACGAAGAGACCTCTTCGTGTCCCTTCGTCTCCAGGCTGCCGGAGACGAAGGTTCTTCGTCTCCATCTTCGTCTCCGGCATGGAGACGAAGAACCTTCCTGGTCTCTGGCCAGGGACGAAGAGCTCTTAGCTTCGTTCCCCGGTCGGAGACGAAGACTGGTTCTTTGTCTCTGGTAGCTGAGACGATACGGTTTTTTTTAAAAAAAATTTAGTTTTGTTATTTTAAATTATTAAAATAAAATTTAAAAAATATTATTTTAATATGGTAACCTCCCCATCAAGTAAATAAGTTATTTTTGACTTAATTGCAACATTTTGTGTTGTTCAGGATCCAATTGTACTTTTTTTGAGTTCAATGGCCTGATTACATTTTCGTGTGTAGTTCGATGGCCTATTTCATCATTATTCCATTAAAATACAACCTAGCTAATTATTACACTTGCTACTACTCACTCCTCACTCATTAGTTCTTTCAACAACATTTCCAGTGGCCTTCAGCCCTTCACTTTCTCCCCAGGCCAGCTTAGCTTGCTGCAAATTAATCATGGTAGCTACCCAGGTACTGCAAATCTAAACATTTCTAAACTAGATTATATTATGTTTTCTTAAACCTCTTCCATGTTTCTATAGAGATCAGATCCTGTTGGGGCTTTAATTTACTGTTAATGAATAATTTAAGAATGTTTGATGGTTTGTTGTCTGTTGCTATACCTGTATGTATCTATATATATATAGTGTGTGTGTATTTGTCTGCTGCAATCTGCAGTCTTGATTATTGATATATAATGGGAGCCTCAAAGAAACTTCATATCAATCTTGATCTTGTAACAATACCAATTAATTATATTAATCAGGTTTGGGTATAATACTTAGTCATCAGAGTTCATGGTAAGCTATACCATTTTCCAACTAGTATATGTATATTTAAAAAAAAAAAAAACAATTAATTTATGAACACAATTCTCTACGGCTGGTTTTATGTCCATCTAAAAGTGGATATGATGAAATTTTATGATTTTTTTGTTTTT